AGTGCTACTTATATAGCAAAGGCATTGGTCCCGGTTCGTGGCACAAACCGGGACTAATGCCCCCTTTAGTCCCGGTTGGTGCCACCAAGCGAGACCAAAGGCCTCTTTTCAGCAGCCCAAAGGGCGGGAAACAGAGACCTTTGGTCCCGGTTGGTGTCACAAACCGGGACAAAAAAGAGGCATTGGTCCCGGTTGGTGTCACAAACCGGGACCAATGCACCCTTTAGTCCCGGTTGGTGCCAACAACCGGGACCAAAGGTCGTGTGCTGGAACTGGCGCGGTACGGTGCTATGTTTAGTCCCACCTCGCTAGCCGAGAGGGGCTCGGAGTGGTTTATAAGCCTGCCAAACCAACCACTTCGAGCTCCTCTCTACTGCAGGCTTACGGGCCTAAAATCACTCTCTGTGCTTGTGGGCCTATTAGGCCTACTGCGGGCCTGCATCCTGGCCCTAGTAATGGGTTTCTAGTCGTATGCAGGCCGTGGTGGCCCTGTAGGTGGCACTATTTTTTTTATTTTTTCCCAGCTTTTTTTGCTTTTTTGGTTTCTAATTACTTATTTATTTTCTTTTACGATAATTCTTTTTGCTATTAAAGTTTGTAACAAAATTCTAATTACTTATTTATTTTCTTTTATGATAATTCTTTTTGCTTTTAATGTTTTGAACAAAATTCTAATTACTTATTTATTTTCTTTTATGATAATTCTTTTTACTATTAAAGTTTGTAACAAAATTCTAATTGCTTATTAATTTTCTTTTATGATAATTCTTTTTGCTTTTAATGTTTTGAACAAAATTCTAATTACTTATTTATTTTCTTTTATGATAATTCTTTTTGCAATTAAAGTTTGTAACAAAATTCTAATTACTTATTTATTTTCTTTTATGATAGTTCTTTTTGCTTTTAAAGTTTGTAACAAATTTCTATATAATTTTAGTTTCAATAATACTAGAGGTTTATAAAAGCTTTTTAGTTGATTCCTTTAGTACCAGTTCTAAGGCTCTTACAAAGGCATTTTATTTGGTACAGCTTTTAAGGCTGGGGCCCCACGAGCACCTTTTAGTACCAGTTCATGGCATGAACCGGTAAAAGAGTTTTTTAGTTGATTCTTTCTGCAGCTGTTTTTTAGTCCCACCTCACCAAGCGAGAGGCACTCGCAGCGGTTTATAAGCCCTGAGTGTAGAGACGATGAAGGGAGAAGCGTAGTGCTCACCTGCACGTTGGCCTGAAGCTAAGCAACGTGCAGGTGAGCATTGCGCCTCTCCTTCATTTTGGCCTGGTATATATAGGCATCTCATTGGTCCCGGTTGGTGGCATGAACCGGGTCTATATATGAAGCACTTACTATAAATAAAATAAAGTAGTACTTACTAAAAATAAACTAGTTTAACTATAGTTCTATTATTTTTCTAACTAATTATATTAAACACTTTCTCTTCTTATTTTTTCCTTTTTACTCTATTCTAAATATGAACATATTCATAAATGACTTATATCATTCACAATTTTCCTATACATACACAATAAATTGACAAAGAAAATACTATGAACAAAAAAATAAATAAAATTCTATGAAAAAAATTACAACAGAAAAAATCATAAAAATTCTATGATCAGAAAAAAATCATAAAAATTTGACATCTAAATTACTTACACAATATGAAAAAAATTGACATCTCAATTACAACAGAAAAAAATCATAAAAAATTGTCATCTAAATTCCAACAGAAAAAAATCATAAAAATTTCATTGACAGGAAAAAAATCTAACACAATATGAACAAATTAATTAGGCATATCATTGGTCCCGGTTGGTGGCATGAACCGGGACTAAAGGGCAAACTTTGGTCCCGGTTCAAGCCACCAACCGGGACCAATGGTGGTGGGCCAGGAGCGAGGCCCATTAGTCCCGGTTCGTCCCACCAACCGGGACAAAAGATCCAGACGAACCGGGACCAATGTGCTACGTCTCGAGCTTGCGTTGGATTTCCCCGAAGAGGAGAGGATGATGCAGCATAGTAGCGTAAGTATTTCCCTCAGTTTTTGAGAACCAAGGTATCAATCCAGTAGGAGGTCACGCGCAAGTCCCTCGTACCTGCACAACACGATAGCAACTCACAACGAACGCTTAGGGGTTGTCAATCCCTTCACGGTTACTTACGAGAGTGAGATCTGATAGAGATAATATTTTTGATATTTTTGATATAAAGATGCAAAGTAAAAATTAAAGGCAAAGTAAAAACAAAGCAAGTAGATAAAGTGATATAGATTGATATGATGAGAATAGACCCGGGGGCCATAGGTTTCACTAGTGGCTTCTCTCAAGAGCATAAGTATTCTACGGTGGGTGAACAAATTACTGTTGAGCAATTGATAGAATTGAGCATAGTTTTGAGGTTATCTAGGTATGATCATGTATATAGGCATCACGTCCGTGACAAGTAGATCGAAATGATTCTGCATCTACTACTATTACTCCACTCATCGACCGCTATCCAGCATGCATCTAGAGTATTAAGTTAAAAACAAAGTAACGCCTTAAGCAAGATGACATGATGTAGATGAATAAATTCATGCAATATGATAAATACCCCATCTTGTTATCCTCGATGCCAACAATACAATACGTGCCTTGCAACTCTTTCTGTCACTGAGTAAGGACACCGCAAGATTGAACCCAAAGCCATGCACTTCTCCCATTGCAAGAACTGCCAATCTAGTTGGTCAAACCAAACGGATAATTCGAAGAGACTTGCAAAGATAACTCAATCATACATAAAAGAATTCAGAGAAGAATCAAATACTTTCCATAGATAAGTTGGATCATAAACCCACAATTCATCGGTCTCAACAAACACACCGCAAAAAGAAGATTACATCGAATAGATCTCCACGAGTGAGGGGGAGAACATTGTATTGAGATCCAAAAAGAGAGAAGAAGCCATCTAGCTACTAGCTATGGACCCGAAGGTATGAAGTAAACTACTCACACTTCATCGGAGGGGCTATGGTGATGATGTAGAAGCCCTCCGTGGTGGATGCCCCCTCAGGCGGAGCTCCGGAACAGGCCCCAAGATGGGATCTCGTGGATACAGAAGGTTGCGGCGGTGGAATTAGGTTTTTGGCTCCTGTTTTGATCATACGGGGATACGTAGGTATATATAGGAGGAAGGAGTATGTCGGTGGAGCTCCGAGGGGCCCACGAGGTAGGGGGGGGGGGCGCCCAGGGGTGGCGCCCTCCACCCTCGTAACCTCCTCGGAAGCTTCTTGGAGTAGGGTCCAAGTCTCCTGGATCACGTTCGCTGAGAAAATCACGTTCCCGAAGGTTTCATTCCGTTTGGACTCCGTTTGATATTCCGTTTCTTCGAAATACTAAAATAGGCAAAAAAAACATCAATTCTGGGCTGGGCCTCCGGTTAATAGGTTAGTCCCAAAAATAATATAAAAGTGGAAAATAAAGCCCAATATAGTCCAAAACAGTAGATAAAATAGCATGGAGCAATAAAAAATTATAGATACGTTGGAGACGTATCACAATGGCCCACGTGGCCCGGCCGGCCCCCAGGCCTCACGAACCGGGTCCAATGCCCCCATGGGTCTCGGTTCTGGACTGAACCGGGACTAATGGGCTGACCCGGCCTGGACCTTTGCCCCCTTTTCTACTAGTGTGAAAGGATGATCCGTGTAGTATGACATAAATGGAGCAGATACTCATTAAAAGGCACTTATATAGAACAAATGGAAGTAATCTGTCTACGACAACCAGCATGAACATCACCTGCATGCATTTCTTGGAATGAAAGGACATCAGGACAATGTAATTGCTTGCTGGAAGAATGAACCATTCATAAAATGAGAAAAATATAGACAAACCTAGCAGAGCATCATGGTGAAGGATGTTGTGCCGCCGGGTGGAAAGGTTGAGTAAAGAACTGCATGGGAGAAAGAATATATACACGTACATGGACCCGAGGCAGCCAAAAGGATGGGCACATCACCCGCCATGAATCCGTTGGCAGAAACTGAGGAATATAATTGCGTCCTTCAAATTTGAGCGGAGCAGTTTCCCTAAGACGAGGCATTGGCTGGATCCCCTCTCTCCTCCTCGCAGACCGATCGCTCGCCATCAAGCGATTCCCGCCACTCACGTGTTTCCCGTGTCGGCTGGATCTAATCCCTCTATGTCGATCCCCACAACGGTCGCATCGAGCGATCTATGGACCAACGCACACCAACCATCTTCACTAGAAGGAATCGGCGGCAGCAGCCGCTCCTCTCTGCGGCTCGAATCGGGACTTCGGGAGTGGATGGATTCGAAGGATTCGGTGTGGTCGCTCCACTGAGCCTCCATCAGGATTGGATTAGGGTTCATGGTCACGGGGATGGAGCTCACGCGGTCGCTTGTACGCCCCAGGCCCAACAGTGGACCTCAGTTTTACTGTCCTTGATGTGCTGATGGCTCGACGGCCCAATGCACTAGAAGCCTTAGTTTCGGCCTTTGGAGCAGCAGCCCACATGACAACTGGGCTAGTTCAAACTGATTGCGGAACAAATCACCTTATACACGAAATCTGACTGCCAGAAATGACCGGATCACTAAAACGGACGGCCGAAAACGCAAATCACCGTGAGGGCAGGGATTAGGTGCGGTTATACTATCCTTAATATGAGCTTTCAACAAAAACATTGTAGACATGTTTAGCAGAAACCACAATGTTATTGAACGAACAGAATGCAAGGCATATATAATCAAAGTATCTAATTAGCATAAGCATTTGCAAATTACAAAATTTGAATGTTATATTCATAGCGACTTTCCACACACAAAAATATAAATAAATATTGTTCTGATTTCTGAAGTCATTATGTGCATCAAAAGATTAATAGCATCATTACGTTTGGTCTGTAGTCCTAAATCCATATGGCTGTGTGTGTTCAATTGTCTATTCTAAATTTCAAGCCATCCTTTTTCGTAACTCACTATGGTCGTCAAATTGGCAGGTAGTTGAAAGTTGGACGAAGAAGTTTGGGACATCAAAGAGCCAAACAACACTGGAACAAGTAATAGCATGTGCCGAGACAGGGATACAATGCATAAACTATCAATCGGTGAACAGGCCTCCTACGTGGTTTATCATTGAACGATTATTGGGCAAAGCTAAGATTTCAGACTGGTCCCTTACAAGTGATGCAGCTGCCTCAACAAAAGGGCAGGTACAGTCACTCAATAGTTAACGTATATGATGCACCGATTTTTAGTTAGTGATTTCTCCTAACCTTGTTTCCATTTTTGTTCTAGACAAACCTTGACTCCAAGCTGGAGGATGAGCCAGAGTTTATGGATAATTCTGCCATAACATCCCAACCACAACCGTTAGTGTTGGAAGTGGTGCAGGAGGATGGCAAAGTGTGCCAACAGAGGAATGTGAAGGAAACAACCGTGAGTGTGGCGATTGGGGTGATGAGCACCCTCAATGCCAAGCTTACCACACTCATGGGCGACGAGTACAATAAGCGCAGAGAGGTGAGGAAGCAGGCGTCCTTCCTCCAAAAGGAATTGAGGACCATAAATGCGGCCCTTGAGCAGCTAGAGCTCATGGATGAGCTCGCTCCAGGGGTAAAAAATTGGCGGGACGATGTTAGGGAAATTTCCTACGACATGGAGAATTGCATTGATGACTTTATGTGCCAATTTGGAGGTAAGGATGCTGAGGCATGCTTTGTCGGGGAGGCTACCGAACTTCACAAGAGGTTGTGCGAGCTTCATAGGATTGCCAACCAGATGGAGGAGCTTAAGACTCTTATGGTAGAAGCAAATGCTCGACGTGAGAGTTACAAGATTGATTATTGCAAGCCTAGCTCTAGCTTTGTGTATGTCGACCCCCGTCTGTCAGCAGTCTACCAGGAGGCAACCAATCTTGTCGGCATCGAAGGACCAAGGGAGCAGCTTGCCAGTTGGTTGATGGGTACTGAGAAAAACCTCAAGGTCATGTCCATTGTGGGTTTCGGAGGTCTAGGTAAGACTACACTCGCCAAACAAGTGTTTGACAAGATCAGCGGGCAATTCAGTTGTGTGGCGTTCTTTCCGGTTTCACAGAGGCCCGATATGAGAGTACTTCTCAATGGCCTTCTATTGAAACTTGAGATAGAGGAGCCTTATCATGATCCTAGGTCTGGAGACATCATCGAAGAGATAAGGAAGTATCTCTCAAAGAAAAGGTAATAACTTACTTCTCATAGTCAGTTGTATTTTACTTCTCATAGTCAGTTGGATTGGCTACTCGTCTTAAATTTGAAGTAGCAAATATTTGGAAGTGCATATCCCAATATGAGTCTTTATCCATGCATGTGGGATGTTCGATTGTTTTCTTATTTGTATGCTCCTGATAGAGATTCAAAATTATAAAGAAAAACTTTGAGCAGAAGACATCTTCAGAGAATTTGATTGAAGTTATGCACATTTTTAATTTATTGTAATAGATTTCTAAGATGTTTATTGGAATAGACTCTTTTGGGGGAGAGAGACATGACCAAATACAAGTCTCATATGAGAAGAATGCTGGGTGGCTAAAAATAGTGGGCATACTTTTAAAATGGTAACCAACGTTCTTCGGCCAGACATTATTTTTCGGGCATAAATATTATATGATCATGCTAATTCAGACATATGAAACACATATTTTGTTTTTTGTTATATCTGGTTCATTTTAATTTTTTATGCTTCTCTTCAACTTCCAATCATATTCTGCTACAATATAACATGTGCAAACATTTCAACAGGTACCTTATTGTAGTTGATGACTTGTGGGATCAATCAGCATGGAGAACTATCAGTTGTGCTTTTCCAGAAAGCGGAAATGGGAGTAGAATAATAGTAACGACTCGAGTGGAAGATGTGGCTGGTCTGGCTTGTCAGAAGGATCGTGAGTGCATTTACAGAATGAAGCCTCTCAATGGACTAAACTCAAAAATGTTATTCTCCAATAGAGTATTTGGGCCCGAAGTTGTTTGTCCACCCTATCTTAAAGATGTCGCGGCTGAAATTCTAAAGAAGTGTGGTGGATTGCCACTTGCAATTATCACTATAGCAAGCCTATTGGCTACTCAAGTGGGATCTAGGAAACACTGGGAGAGCATCAGGAAATCTCTGGGTGCCCAATCCGTACTAAATCCTACATTGAAAGAGATGAACAGTATATTAAACCTTAGCTACAAGCATCTTCCTTTTCATCTCCGTGCATGTTTTCTTTATCTTGGTATGTACCCTGAGGACCACATTATATGGCGGGATGATTTGATTAAACAATGGATCGCCGAAGGCTTTGTCAGCAATTTGCATGGGCTCGATTTGGAGGCTGTTGGCAGAAGTTATTTCAATGAGCTCGTTAATAGAAGCATGATCCTGCCATGGAATACCATGTATGGTGAGGTCTTGTCTTGCAGAGTACACGACATGATGCTTAATTTGATCATAAGCAAATGTGTAGAAGATAATTTTATAAGTGTGGCATACAATTCTGAGCACTTAGCAAGACTGTTGCATGGCTGCAAGTACAAGGTTCGCCGATTATCCCTGAGCTCCATGGCTATTGGTGGAGCAACATATGACACGACTATTGCTGCTAGCCTATCGCAAGTTCGGTCTTTTATACTATTCAAGAACCCCATACCCCCTCTTTCGTGGTTCAAGTATCTCAGGATGCTCAACATTGCTAGGGTGATGGAGATAGCTGACCTCACTGCTATTAACCAATTGTTTCTGCTGAGGTATCTAATGGTTAGAGTTTATTGCATTGAAATGCATCGACAAGTTGAGTATGGGAGGATAAAGCTCCCTGCTAAACTTTGTGAGCTTATTTACTTGGAGACAATGGACATACAAGATTGCCGCCTGATAAATAGTTTGCCTTCAGATTTAGTTCATTTGCCCCGCCTGTCGCATCTTGTTCTTCCAGATTTTACACACTTACCTGAAGGTATCGAGAACATGAAATCACTGCACACTCTGCAAGGGCTTGACCTGAGATATAGCTCGCTGGAGTGTATTAGAAGTCTGGGCAAGCTGACCAATCTGAGGAAACTTAGTATGAGAATTGATTATGATATGTCGAGGCGACAAATTGATGCTTTGGCCTGCTCCATTGGAAAGCTCAATAACCTCGAATATATGTTTATCTCTGGCGGCCATTTTGATGAGGGTAATGACCAGAAGCTGGGTTCATTATCCAATCCTTTTCAATATATGGAGGGACTTCACTTGATTGGTTGGTGGTTGTGCAGAGTTCCAAAATGGATGTGTGACCTCAATTGCTTGCGCTTCCTTCAGCTGCAGGTTAATGAGACGTCAAGTGAGGAGGTTCATCTTCTTGGAAAGCTTCCCTCCCTCATCAAACTCAACTTTGGAGTGGATAAATTACCTAATGAAAGGGCTATATTGGGCACGGGATTATTCCCGATTCTGGAGTTCTTTTATTTTCATTCTTGGAAAGACAGTACGGGGTACCTGGGATTCGAGGGAGGGGCTATGCCCAACTTACGAATCCTCTGTCTCAGTGCAATCCGTTGGGGTGGCACAATACCAGTCGGCATGGAGCACCTGTTACACCTCCAGAAGATCCGAGTGCTTGGGGCCTCCAATGATGCCGTGGCCGCGTTCAAGGAGGCCTTACTAGTCCACCCAAATCGCCCTTCTGTTTTTAGTGGCACAAATTGAGTTTCCCAGATTCTGTGTGGGCAGTCGCTATTATCAACAATCAGTTGCTCAGCGGAACTATTAGATTAATGGTTTGCAGGATCTGAGATTAATTTGGTATGTAATCTTCGCTACCTAGCTGGATATAATTCCCGCACGCATCGCACTATATGTATTGCCTTTCGTAGACCGTAGATCTCCCAGAAAAGTGAACAGAATCGGCAGAGTTGTGGATGCTCTGCGAGGCAGCGCAGCTGGAATTTCTCAACCGAAACTAGAGCAATAACTGCTCAGTCAGGTGGCTGCTGCATCTTTGTGCAAAACAAGTTTGTGGTTATGGAACAAGAACTGGATTATCTTGTAAACTGCTTGCGTACTGTGGCTGTAATCCTGATGATTAATGAACGAATGCTCTTGACCTCCCCGATGAATAACCAATCCTGCAGGTGGTGACTTCATGTGTCGGACTGTCTTGTGATCGGAGGTTCAGCAATGCTAGGATTTAGGCTGCGTTTGGTCTAGTACGTGGTACCATGTCTTGTTACTCCATTTCTGAACATTGCAATGTCGCAAGCTTTTGAGCAGGGAGCAGCTCTGCCTTGTTTGCCGTTTGGTGGAACACCGTAACTGAATGATTCAGTAATCCAGTCCAACCCAATCCGGAATTAGAGAGCGTGGAACACAGAGTACATCTTGGTAAGCCCTTTATAGTTACAAGGAGAGGGGGGAAATGATGAGAGCAGAATCTATTTTCTCTATCTGCCACCCTGTATTTGAGTTTACCCCTCTGATTTTCTTGTTACTGCTGTGATCTCAACCATGGCTGGGTTCAGTTAAAACATGGCCTAATAACCAAAATGGTAAATAAGCACATCATCCCCAGTTTCCATTCAACTTGTGTGACTGGAAAAACAGTTGAAGTCGGCAGAGATAACCAGTGTACATTATACACACAACTTTTCTGATTTATTTCTCGAAAAAAAAATCTGATTTGGGCAGCATTCACGTGAAGAAACCAAATACACCAGAGTTGTTAATATAGACAGAGATAACTAGAGTGTTGCAGAGATCATAACTTCTGTTGAAAGTTGCTTCCTGAAACTGCATTGTTAACCCAGTTGAAGGGCGGTTTCACAGACTGAGGGGCAGTTTGCTTGCTGTCCTGGACAGCCTGTCTGGCAATTTTCGGAGCCTGGCGAGCGCCTGGGAAGCAGCAGATTTGTGCCTGGCCAGGGCATTGTTTGACTGGTGACCACGTGACTACCCCTGGTGGTGAATTCTGGATGTCACATCACCCTATTAGTTTTCTTTTCCTTCTCACATGCATGATTAGCCCAGGCATCCCTTCTCGGTTGCCTGGAGCAGGCTAGTGACGTTCTCCTGTTTCCAGGACAGGCTAATGATGTTTTTTAATTCCCAGGCCAGGCTAGCTTCGAGTTATCCAGGCACCAACCAAACGATGTCCAGGCAGATCCCAGGCATCTTTCAGGCCAGGCAAATTTGCTTGAGGACAAGAACCAAACAGGCCCTGAAAATTTGCATTACAGTCTGCATTGGACCATGGCAGTTTGTAACTAGCCAGTGACGAACATGAAACATCTGTAACAATCATTCTCTAAATCAACAGCCATCTCAGCTAAATCGAAAAGAAAAGAAAAAATTGTGGAGAAGCATAAGATTCATATATAGGAAGCAAATAAGTTCAACCTTCATAGTCCTACGGTACTTTTATGAACCAGTAGAAACAAATAATTAGGAACAAAGGAAAATAATAGTGTGAATCAATCATTCAAAGGTGTTTATATAAACCATTGGAAACATTTAAATTCTGTGCCCATCATCTCAACTAATACAAACCATAAAAAACAAACAAATTCAGTAGGTATGTAGCAATTTTTTGTAGCGATGTTAAGACGTATGTTTGGAAAAGGCATTTCCAATAAGAAGAAGATATGCCGCAAGTTGGTGACATTACCCGTATTTATATCTGGGGAAGCTTCTACTTCAATTGAAACATGCAGCCACTGCAGATAGTAAAGATTAATTGGCTAATGTTCTTGAAGTAAAACATATTCTTCTACCAGATCATGCGCATTGCAGATAATGCGCTTAAAGAAAGATAGCATTTCATACAACGGCCCTCGTTGGAGAATCACTGATTTATAAAATCATTGGTTCTATGAGCTCGAATCTCCGAAAGAGCTTCTTCATGGCAACAGTTCGACCACTTGGAAGCACTACCTCATATACAGTCACAATGTGCTTTCATGTTTTGTTTTTCGTAATCTCCCCGTTTCAGTTTACAAATCATGTGCATATACCTAGGTTGCCAATTCTATCATCCTAATATAAACTATATAACAAAAAAAATATGCCTTTTGAAAATAGAACATCTGAAGTTTATATTTGTATATTTTTTGTAATATATGACTTGTATTACGTTGATTAAATTGACGACCTAAGGTACGCGCACGCCCTATAAGCTGAGAGAGAGGGAGTACAAGGAACACTAGTGTTCCATTGATTAACCATCAGCGACAGCGACATCATGATGGATGGAATCCGACCAAATCCCAACGCTACCACTAGCTTCTCTCCCTGCAAAGAAAGGATACAATCCTGTTTTATTATGTTCAAGATGCCTTATACTTCTGCTGAACTTTGATAATAGACCGGACCATTTTTCACAAAAAAAAACTTGAGCTCAAGGAATGTTCTTGTCTTTTACAAAGGTATCGTCATTCGTCAGTGGAGTGTATTGAATTCATGCTCCAACCAACTCATCCAAGAGTCCGAACTTATAGATAGGGACAGATAATATGTTTCAACACTGCCCCTCACGTCTAGTCTTATTTAGTCCTTACTTCTTAGATGTGTGATTGATATAAGCTGCAGAATCTTTTTGTTTATAATACTGTGTTGGCAGAGTTTTGAACTCAAGTCCTCTTAGCTCGGATACCATTAGACCAATCCTGGTGACAATCGCCGCTTCGGCAGTAGCCGTCCCCCAGGCAGATCAATCTCCTCCCCGGTGGTGCGGCACCCGATCAGATGTGATCGGTTCCATAGATTAGACTAATTTCTCAAATTCAAAATTCCTTTAGATTAGTTTTCCATAGCCACCAATAAATCCAACAAGCCACAAAATCCTGTGAAGAATCGGTGTCAACTCTGCTGTCGGCGGCTACAGCAACGACGGCAAAAGAGCAACGGCAGATTGCCGTCCACGTACGCACGACTATCGTGTGGTGGTGGAGAACACGTAGCGCCGGCGCAACCATGATCCAGAGGAGCAAGACTGGGCGATGGCGGTCTCGGAGCAGGCGCTTTCATGGCCGGCGCTGGAGCAGCCCGGTGGAGCGGCGGCATCAATCAGGCGGAGACGACGACACCAGCGAGCAGCAGCCAAGAACACGCGGACGTCCAATCACGGGAGGGCGTAGCTCCGGCACAGATCTCTTTAGAATACGAGTACGCAGATCTCCCGCCGAAAGCAACCCGCGTGCGCGGATCTCTGATGAGTGGCAACTCCGACGCGGGCGAGCGACTTCAGCTGCCTTCGATCTCTTGGCACAGGACCGACCATACGACGCTGTCACGGAGTACTTTCCTGCGACGCGCAACGATAGACGACGAACAACGAGCTGACTTTCCTGCCCCAAGCAGCTAGATGTGCACGTACAAAGCTACCCCAGCCCCTGATCGATTCCTTTGACAGAGACGTGCTAGTACTAGTTGGCCGTTGACCAAAGCTAGCTTTGTACTCCCTCCGTTCCTAAATACTTGTCTTTCTAGGCATTTCAACAAGTGACTACATACGGAGCAAAATGAGTGAATCTACACTCTAAAATATATCTACATACATCCGTATGTAGTAGTCATTTGAAATGTCTAGAAAGACAAGTATTTAGGAACGGAGGGAGTACATACGTATTTCTCTCTTATGATAATTATTTCTCTTAAACCAACGTGTAGACCATCAATACATTTGCACCACTGTAATCTACACAATGAACTCTACCAATAGAGTATAATTTATGGCTATGCGTGGGACCCACACATCATATGGTAGTACTTTGTAAAATGAAAGTTGCATTGTCTCACATATCAGGTTGTATTTATTTGCATGCGGGTTCACCGTGGCCTGCACAAATAAATTGAGATTTTTTTGGTACAAAAATATGTCAAACAAATGCCCCCCCGCCGAGTGTAGTTCATGGGCGCAGCATAGGGACTACACTCGGTGAAAATAATTTACCAATCAGTTGGGCAACTTTGCCGTTGCTGCCCAAATTTGGAAAGCACTTGTGTATGGCAAGCTCAAGTCAGCCTTGAGGAAAGCTAGCAACAAAAGACTGGGCTGGCCAGCCGTGAATCAATCAGCCTCCGTAGGTGCGGGACACGGAGTCCTACACGGACTCAATCAAACCGAAGAGGACACCTTTGGTAATAGAGTCTCTCACACAGCTTACCCTTTTATAAACTGAGCATCTCGTTCGCTCGTGCATAGCTGTTCTTTTGGTACAAAAATACATCAAACACACTCTATGCATTCCAGTAAACAGTCTGGTTTTGTTTTCAAATTAGACTATGAAAAAGCCTATGACATGATCAATAGGGAGTTCCTGTTGGACATGATGAATAAGAGAGGGTTCAGTAATAAATGGATGAAGATGGTTGAACCCCTTCTGCATAAAGGCTCTGTTGGGGTCAGAATTAATGACAAAAACAGTGAATTCTTTATTACTGGTAAAGGGGTCAGACAGGGAGATCCCTATTCCCCTCTGCTCTTCAACTTAGTGGCAGATGTCTTTATTAGAACTCTAGTTAAGGCTTCCAGAAATGGTATACTGGAAGGTCTTTTACCTATCTCTAACCCAGCTGGCATTATTAGTATGCACTATGCTGATGACACTCTTCTTTTCTTGAGTAACAACCTATCTCATGCCAGAAATCTTAATCCTGCTTTGAGCAGTTATCTGGGATGAGGATCTACTTAACTGTGACCTTGTCCCTATTGT